AGCTGTCAGCTGGGCTCTTCCAGGGTTTAGAGCAAAGACAGAGCTGGGAAGGTGTTGGGGGTGCAGTATCCCAGAGCTCTGGCTGGATGTTCTAAACAACCCCATTCCCGTGGTCCCACGTCCCCACTGTGAGCTACCTGCTGGTGCCCTGAAATGGGAACCAGCCAGGGCTTCCAGTCAAGAAGGTGACGTAGGCAGACATGGCTCACCTTTTCACACAATCACGTCAAAATTACCACTACAATTTAGAACAACCATCACTCAGGAATATCAGAAATCTAGTTGAATGAAAGTCTGACAAAGACAGAATTGAAGAAACCACATCTATCCAGATTGGTCGGAGGAGCCCAGATGCGGAACAGGCTGGTTCCACATCCACGTGGATAAAAATTTAGGAGGGTTATCTCTGGAGGGAGGAGTCCCAGACCCTCATGGGGCCCCTCAGCCCGGGATTCCAGAGCCAGGAAGATAAGTCCCCACAACTTCTGGCTGTGAAAACCAGTGGGGATTGAGTTGGTGGGGGAAGCTGCTGGAGCCCTAAACAGGGGAACCCACACACGGACTCACCTACTCAGACTCACTCCCTCTGAGCTTCAGCAACTGGGGTGGCAGCTTGAAGGGCACTAGTAATACACAGGGAGAGATTGAAGTGTCTGGCATCAGGGCAAGCAGAGGCCCTTGTCGCTTTGCTGAGCCCTCCCCACACAGAGCCAGTAGGCTGGTACCATATTTGAGACTCCATCAACCTAGCTAACACTGTGTGACCCACCTTGGAGATCCATAGAGGGTCTACCCCACCCAACTTACATGCCCACTCAAGCTGCTTCTCCATAAGAATGGGTGGTCTTGACTCCTAAATCCTATCAAACAAGCAATAGCTGGCTTTAGTTAGCTCTAGTGGTAGCCAGATTAGAGTCGCAGTTTGGCTTCACCTGGGAATCTCCAAGCCCAGCACAAGTAGCAGTCATCTCAGATTGCTTTACAGCTCAGGCAGGGAGCCCCAGGCAAAATACAAGTGGGGGCTGAGCGTGGCCTGCATCACGTGGAAACCCCAGGCCCAACAAAGCCAGTGGACAGCTACAGACCATGTCAGAGCATTACCACCCTGCCCCTGCACAGCTGATCCTCCATGGAGGGCAGAGGTTGGTGGTCAGTGGTCACAGCCAGTCCCTGCAGCTGAATGGCCTGGGTAAATCCCTCCTATTGATTTGCCAACAGCAGTCAAGGCTCACCTACAAGAGGAGGGGGGACTTAGCCCACACAAAGGGTGCACATACAGTACCCAGCTTGGGTAGTGGGGGCGGGGCTATGTCACTGGGCCCTACAGGACACCTTCTATATTAGGCCACACTACCAAGATAAGGAGTCGAAGCAGCTCTACCTAATACACAGAAACAATCACAGGGAGGCTGCCAAAATGAGGAGACAAAGAAACATGGCCCAAATGAAAGAACAAATCAAAATTCCAGAAAAAGAGCTAAACAAAAAGGAGATAAGAAATCTATCTATCAGATGTGGAGTTCAAAACCCTTATTATAAGGATGCTCAAGGAACTTAGTGAGGACCTCGGCAGCATAAAAATGACCCAGTCAGAAATGAAGAATACACTAGTTGAAATAAAGAATAATTTACAGGGAAACAGCTATAGAATGAATGAAGCTGAGAATCAAATTAATGATTTGGAACATGAGGAAGAAAAAAAAAACCCAGCCAATCAGAACAAAAAGAAGAAAAAAGAATCCAAAGACATTATAGTATAAACAGTCTCTGGGACAACTTTAAGAGGTCCAACATTCACCTCAAAGGGATTCCAGAAAGAGAAGAGAAAGAGCAAGAAATTGGAAATTCATCTGAAAAAATAGTGAAAGAAAACTTTCCTAATTTGGTGAAGGAAATAGACATGTAAGTCCAGGAAGCACAGAGAATCCCAATTATAATGGATGCAAAGAGACCCACTTCAACACACATCATTATTAAAAGGCCAAAGGTTAAAGATAAAGAAAGACTCTGAAAGGCAAGAGAAAAGAAGTTAGTAGCCAGAAGGTTGCCAGATGGGAGGGGGGGAACGGGTGAAGAGGTGAGGGGACTAAGAAGTACAAATAGGTAGTTAGAGAATAGCCATGGGGATGTAAAGTATAATATAGGGAATGGAGTAACCGAAGAACTTTTGCACATGACCCACGGACATGAACAACGGTGATGGAATTGCCTGAGGGAGTGGGGGGTGCTGGGTGGAGGTGGAGAAAGGGGGAAAATTAGGACAAATGAAATAGCATAATCAATAAAATATAATTTAAACAAAAGAAATGGGGACCAACCTTCATCCTCTGTGCTGGGAGAGATATGGTGGAGGCCTCAACTCTGCTGCAGATTAGCTGGCTTTTCCCCATTTCTCAGGACTTCTCCCCATTTTCCTTTCTGAGTGCACCCCTACAGTCTAGCATTATTCATGCCCAACGTGTCTCAGAAAACTACATCAGCCTTGCCCTTTACCCAGGATTCCACAGCCTCATGGTTCATGTTCTTTTAAAAGGCCATCTTCTTCCCTGCCCTCACCATTTTACCGCCACCCCCACCCTTCCTTCCCACGCCCTTCATTCTCCTCTGCTCTGGGGAGGGAGCAAGGATATGACTGGTGTTCCAGCTGCTTGGCTCCCGCCGGGAATTCACCCACAAACACCACCTTCCTATCAGCCTCTGGGGCCCTGGGCAGCCAAGCCAGCCTTTCAACCACCTGCAGTCAAGACCTCAGCAGGACCCGTGGGGATCTGTTAACATTTCCACTCAGCCTATCCTGGACAACACCTGTATTTTGTGGAAAGTAAATGCAATTGGGCAAGAGTCACTCCTAACTGCACAGAGGGGCCCAGAAGGCTCAGGCCTCAGTCCTGGGCCTGGCCATTCCCAAGGTGAAGAGGCCACACTCTCCTAGGGATGCCGCTTTGTGTAGGCACCAGATCCTGGTCCCAAGGATCAAGGCTCCCAGGCGGGGATGGGCTTGCGTGATGTCTACAGCACATTCCCGGAGCCCACCCACATCCTTTCAGGCTGTGCCCACATCCGGGCACTTTTGCCCAATGACTTTCTAGTCACCTGGTTGCTGGTGAGTGCTTTTCATGAAGTACCTTGTTTAGTCATCACAATTACACACTCGGCTGGCACACTCAGTGGGCCAAAGGGGCCTCTGATGAATGGCTCCCTGCTCCCCAGGTAGGCCCCGTGGTGATGTGGAGGCTGATCCCCACCCATCCCTCTTCCTGCCCTCAGGGCCAGCGGCCCCTCATTAATGCAGCCTTTACGGAGGGCTTCCTTCCTTGCCAATCTCACTTCCCACCTCCCCTGCTAGTGCTTCCTGGGACCACTTCCCAATAAATGTCTTGCACTTGATTCTTGGATTGGGAGCCTGCTCGTGAGGAAACCCCGGCTAAGACAGTATCTAACTGCCAGCACTTAGCGAGCACTCTCTTTGTGCCAAGCACCATGCTCAGTGCATCACGTGTCTTGCCTCACTCAATCACGACAGCCAGCGCTTTGAGGTAGCGACCATCCTCGTTTCTCAAGGAGGCAGGAGGAGGACACCATCTCAAAGGACTCTTGTGATTATATCAGGTCCATTTGGATAATCCAGACAATCTCTCCATCTCGAGATCCTTAACTTAATCACATCCACAAGGTCTTTTTGCCAGAGAAGGTGACAGCCACAACCTCCAGATGTAGACATCTTGAGGGGCCACTGTTCTGCCCACCGTAGGGGTGACGTGCAGAGGCTCCAGCTGGGAGACCTGCTCTTGAACCAAGTTGTTCACCCTCTAACTTGCTGACCAAATAATTTAACCTCTCTGCCTCAGAGGGCAAAGGGCAGGAGGTGAGCTACCACAGCAGTTTGAGGAACCAAAAGCAATTCAGGCTGGCTAGAACATGGGTTCATGGGAGGAGTAATTTGGCCTCAAGCCCTAGCTCTGAGTCAGTTTCTGTATCTGTAAAGTGGAAATGACTGGAGTCCCTACCTCACAGATCGACAGATGTGTGCTCAGTGCACAACTGGCCATGTGTTAAGTGAGTGAGCGAACACTGAGGTCTCCAGCAGTCTCCTGTGCTCTTTAAGTTTCAGAGCGATTGTGTGTTGAGGGCCCTGCTTCCCTGTAGGATTATAGGAACTTGCAGGGATTGTCCGTGTGGCTGGGGAAAGTGCCCTCTCTCCATTCTCCCCACTGCAGGGCCTGACACCTAAGTCTGGGTCCTTTCCAAGATAGGATGAGTCTCTGCTCAGGGCGGGGGTGCACCTGCCCCACCGCGAAATCACCATCTTCCTGTCCGTGACCCACACCTCCTCACCAGGGAAGATCTCAGGTTCTGCTTGGAGAGCAGAACTAGAAAAGGGTTTTAGAGCTAGAGTCCTAGGAGCAGCCCAGGGCTAAGTGTGCTTTTATCAGTCCATTTTACAGTTGAAGACACTGGGGCCAGAGAGGTTTTCCCTGTCCTCAAAGCTGGGACCCACCAAACACAACTCAGAACTCTTTTCTTGCCCCCAAACATTGCTTCCGCCTCCTTAGCCACTTTCCATCTGGTGTCCGCATATTTTTCTGGCTGTCTTGCCCTCTGATGCCTGGATACTCAGATTCCTTATGATTACTCATCCTTGCTCTTAGGTCACAGAGAAGAATGTCTGGCTACATCTGGGCCTGTGACTCTGCTCCATGCTGCGTGAGCTGTGCGCCTGACGTCGTTCCTCTCTGGGCCTTGGTTCCTTCAACCACGGCAGTGAGGCTGGCCAAACCTGCTCTCAGACTTTCCCTGAGGACCAGGTGACGGAACACGTGCAAACACCTGAGACAGTAAGCCTCTGTCGAAGCATTCAGTGAATGGCATTTTCTTCAGAAATAGTATTTATTGTACAGTATTTCTTGCAATGAACTAGGGGGAAATGTTTCCCCAAATAAGTAAATAAATAGGACAACTTTAGAAACTATAATTTCATCTAAGGTTTTTGTTAGTTTTTTTTTTTGCTTTTAAAAAAATCCTCACACAAGGATATGTTCATTGATTTTTCTGGAGACAGAGGAAGGGAGAGGGAGAGAGAGAGAAAAAAAATTGATTGGTTTCCTCCCCTATGCACCCCGACTGAACCCACAGCCTAGGTATGTGCCCTGACCAGGGATGGAGCCTGCAGCCCTTTTGTATGTGGGTGATGCTCCAATCGACTGAGCCACCCAGGCAGGGCAATTTTTTTGGATTTTAATTTTGAGGTCTTTACCTTTGTTGGGAGAAGAGCAGGACGGGGGTGGTGAGGCAGTTAGTGTGTGGCAGGGCCGATTCTTCCTGCTGTCACTCTGGCAGATGAGCTAGTGTCAGGTCAACGCCCCCCCTCCCACCACCACCAAGAACACCTAGAAATTGCCCAGAAGGACAAGCCTGAAACTGAGAGTTCACTTTCCCCTCAAGGCATGTGCTGACTCAGGCAGCAGAGCCGCGGAGAAGCTGACGGAAGTTTGGTGTCTAGGGGTCCGGGGGACAAACACTGGAGTGTGGGGCCCAGCATAGTGGTGGCTTTTTGATAAAACTCCAGGCTGGAGGTGGGACTCTAATAACTGATTAACACATTCAGGAAGTTAGATAAGAATTTCAGCAGAAAAGTGGAAACCATAAAAAAGAAGCCAGTGGAAGTTCCAGAGCTGAAAAACACAATACTGAGGTTAAGATTTGCAGTTGTGCAGTTGTTCGGATCGCGTGCTCTGAGCTACTGCCCAGGCTCAGGTCCTGGCCCCAGCCTTTACCGTGGACAACACCGGCCCTGTTTCTTCTTCATGGGGGTGAAATTCACAAGACACACAATGAAGCATTTTAAAGTGTACAGTCCAGTGGTATTTAAAGTATTCACAATGGTGTGCTAAAGCCAGTTCTCCCTAGTTTCAAAATGTTTCCATCACATCACAGAGCACCTTGTATCCATTGCATTGTCCCTCCCTGTCCTCACCGCCCCTCCCCTAGCAGCCTCTAACCTACTGGCAGCCTCTGTGGATTTTCCTATTATGGCTGCAACATATCAGATAAAGCATACAGCACATACATTTGGTGTCTGGCTTCTTTCACTTAACATGCTTTCAAAGTTCATCCAAGTTGTAGAATGTGTCAGTATTTCATTCCTTTTCATGGCTGAATAATATTCCATTAATGTACCACCTTTTGTTTATCATTCATCCACCGATGGACATTTGAGTGGTTTCTGCCTTTGGCTAATATGAATAATGTTGTTTAAACGTTTGCATACAAGTTTCCATGTGCACATTTTCATTTTTCTTGGGCTTATACTTAGGTGTGGACTAAGTCCTTGTTTTTCAACTTTTTGCAACAGTTTTTTTTTTTGTCTATAAAATTGAGCTGGTGGTGATACCTAATACATAGGGTTATATGAAACAATTAATGCAAAGTGCTTAGCTTGATAAATGATTACTATAGATCAGATTTTGTGAACCAAGTGGGTTGTAAGCATTTGTTGACTTGTCTGTCTGCTCAGCTAGGTCACAGGTTACTGGAGGGCGGGGGGCTTCTGATGCCCATCTGTACCCCAACCCGATGCCTGGCATCCTGCTGGCATGGAGCTGGCGTTCAGTAACTGTTCCTGGAGTATTTGGAGGTGGCTCTTTCTCATACAAGGCCTTGCCTGTCCCGTAGGCTCACCGGGGCCATGGAGCGTGAATACTACTGCTCTTTTTCAACCACTGAGGAAAATGAGGTTCCTGGAAGTTGAGTTACTTAATGTTATGGACTGCAGAGAAGCAGAACCGGAAGTCTAAAACCTCAGGCAAGGGTTCATTCATTCATTCAATATCGAATATTTACTGAGCACCTGCTGTATGCCAGGCAGGTTCTAGGCAGTGGTGTCTTCATGAATTACTTGGGAAGACGATATAAACGAGATAAGTGATGTATCTAGGCGATGTGCCAAGAAGAAAACTAAGGCCAGAGAGGAGGATAGGGAGTCACCTAGGGAGGGGGGAGGGGGTTGCAGTTCCCACACAACTCATCAACGGCAGAACGGGCATTCGACCTTGGATCTGCCTGGAACTCGTGTCATGCCTGGCCTTGCCATGGTTTCCTGGGAGGTAGCGCGGTGCTTCAGAGCTTGGAGCTTGGAGGCTGCTCGCGTAACCTCTCTGGGCCTCAGTTCCTGCCTCACAGAGGTATGTGAGGGTTCAGTGCGGCGATAGATGTAAACCCTTGCTCAGTACCTGGGGCGGTTGTTGTTAGGACCACCATTGCTAGTGCTGGAGAAGTTCTGAACTCTGGAAAGCTATCTGGTGCGGACTCCCTCTGGTCCTGGCCAACTGGGGATCACGTGACTGGTCCACTGTCCAGGCCGACAGAAGTGCAGAGGAAAAACCAAACCTTTCACCTTTGGAGGACAGGGACCCTTCCAGGGCGCACGAAGTTTGGCCAACCACATTCTGATTGTTCTCAAGTTACTTCTCTAGAGCTTTTAGAGCCAACTGCTCTCCCAGTTTAGGCTGTAGGGATAGCAAAGAAAAAGGCTGGGTGGTAGCACTATCCCCTCCCCCACCCCCACTCATAAAGACCTACGCCGGACATTCGAAGGAAGGACTGACCTCCAGCTATTTTGGAAGGGCCTATCTTCTGTCAGGGGCTGATCCTGGTCTGAGTGGAGAGTGTATTTACTGGCCAAAGTCTGCTCCAAAGTAAACATGTCATCGCATTCCGCACAGCCTGTAACCTCCACGGGGAGAAGCCCTGGCCATCACAGAAGAAGGGTGGTGAGGAAAGCTCATCGGACTCCACTTCAGCAGGATCCCACTTAGTTCTCTGTGGGTGGGGGACACAGGGGAGGGAAAGAACCAGTCCGAAATAAGCTGAATGAAGAACACATTTGGTGCAGTTCTTCTCTGCAGTGGTGGGTAGGGGAGAATAGGCTTTTTAGAGGACAAACATGTTATGCAGTGAAAGAGCACGCATTTTTATGTGGGTGCGCCTATCAGCTATCATTGTTGTTTTTTTTCCACCCAGAGATGTACACCTGAAAGTGTACAATTTGATGTTTTTACACACCCACCCATGTGCACACACATGTATTCATGAAACTGTTACTGCAATCAAAATGGAGAACATGTGAATCACTCCAAAAAGTTTCCTAAAACTTTTTTGTAACCCCCCTCCCTACCCCCTGCATCCCTAGGCACACTCTGGTCTGCTTTCTGTCAATATAATTAGTTCGCATTTCTTAGAATTGTGTATAAATGGAACCATACACTATGTGTTCTTTTTTTTGCCCAGCTTCCTTCACTTAGCATAATTATTTTGAGCTTTGGCTATGTTGCTGTGAACATCAGTAGGTCCCTCCTTTGTGCTGCTGTGTACCGACTAGTCCATCGCGTGGATGTACCAGCTCATTCATCCAGCCTCCTGCTAAGGGACCTTCAGTTCATTACCAGTTTTTGACAATAACAAGTAAAGCTAAGTATGAACAGTCAAGTACAAGGTTTTTTACATCCACACATGCTTTTATTCTTTGGGAAATTAGTTAGGAATGGGAGGGCTGGGTCACATGGCAGGTGTGTATTTAACTTTCTAAGACACTGCTTTTCACAGTGGGTACACCCTTTCATATTCCCACCAACAGTGTATGTTTGCAATCATTAAACATGTAAGTCAGAAAGAAAGTCTTTAAGATAGAAAGTAAGTTCTTATAATTCTACCTCCTAATGATTGGCCTGCTTAACTGTTTACTATACATCCTTCCAAGGTTCCTTGGTTTCCTGTCCACATACAGACCCAGCCTGAGACATGGAGATGACCTGGGCAGGCTATTCATTTAGCATGCCCCCAACTTGACGTTTTAAAAACAGCTGTTCAAAATTTACTTAGGCAGGATGTAGAGAAACTGATTTTTGGTTAATTAAATATATTATTCCTCTTTCTTTTCAAAATAAAGGATTTATTACATGCATGGAATGAAACCTGTCCTTTTAATTTATCTGGAATGGTCCCCATATTGTAGTTATCCAAGCTTTGGGGGGACTGAATTAAAGGACATACGATTTGGCTTACACACTAACAAATCGCTAGGTCTTGGTGCAGCATGCAGCTCTGACCAGGGATGAAGCTGACATGACCAGAGACTGGAGAGAATTGTCACCTAGGTGGACTCTGGCGTGGTGGCACAGCCAAGAGTCGTCCCTAGTGATGGGAAGAGAATGTTCCAACTTCTCCCAGAGGGTGCCGTTTGCCTCTGACCACTGGCTAGGACAGGTGTGCCCAGTGTGGAGCCCCAGGGCACTGGCCCTGCGTCTCCATCCAGCCCAGGACTCCGTGGCTCCCTTCCAGGCTGGCACCTGGGAGGCTGCCTGGCCGCTCATCAGCTCCGCCGTGTACTAATACACATCGGCGTTCTTCGTATTTACAAAGTGTGTATACAAATTGGATCATACACATTCACGTTGGTTTGTAACTTGCTCTTCTTTTCCCCCACTTACCAACAAATTCCGAGATCTTTCCACATCAGTCTATGCAGATGCAACACAGTCTTTTAAAAAGCACCAAGGAAGGTTGTCTGCCTGACGGGTGTCCTGTCACGCAGAACTTACCAGCTTGAGTGAGGAGCACACCATCACCTTGGGGATCCTGCTGAACTATAGCTTCTGATTCGGCAGGTCTGGGGTGCCGCCGGAGGTTCTGTACACTCCCTGGTGCTGCCCAAGCTGCTGGCGGCACCATACTTGGAGGAGCAAGGCTGGGGTGCATGGAGGGGCCACCGGAGGGGGCATCTGGGCCGTTATGAACAGCCACGAACACCCAAAAGGAGCACTGGAAGGTAGGTTTTAGAGTCAGAAGGCAGAACACTGAGCTCTGGCCCTGACACTGTGTGACTGAGCTGCCAGCCGGTGCCTCCTCCCTGGCAACTCAGTGAGCTGTCACAAATGCCTCCTCTCTTTTAGATCCTGGGGGTAAAAACAGATCGTCCCTGTCCTTGAGCCTCCAAGAACAACGACAGTAATCCTGACTTGGAGAGCACTGGGGGGCGGTGGAGGAAGTGGATGAGATAAGGACGGAAAGGGCTTTGTCGCTGCGTAGCCCTGCTGCAGTTGGAAGGCAGATGGGGTTTGCAGGTGAGCTAGATAGGGTTTTCTTTAGCAGAAAAGTGCTCTGTGGCATTTGTCTGCACTTAAAAAACAAACAAACAAGCAAACAAACCAAAAACAGACCTGCTGGTAAATCTTCCAAAGAAGCCAAAGCCAGACTGGGTGGAGGAAGAAGACCCAATCATTTGCAAATTAGTGAGTGTGTGTGCGCCTGTGTGATTCCACCAGGACGTGGGTAGGGCGTGGGGCGTGCTCTGGCCAGGAGTTTCCACCTCGGACTGGGAAGGGCCTGAGGGAGTAGGTCAAGGCCCTCAGCAGGCCCTGTCTCCCTGCCCCTGCTGAGTGAACAGCACACATGTCCCTGAATGGTGGCCACTGCCTTCATTCTTTCACTGTCGCCAGGCAAACTACGTTACTGTGTCAAGGCCTGGGGCTCTGAGGGACTAAAGAGCTTAGAGACTCTGAAGTGGCCTCTGGAGTTGGTCAGAGCAGGGTTTGAACCAAAGGGACCCTGAGCCAGTGACTTGATTTTTCCTGGTAGCCTCAGTTTCTCTACTTGTAAAATGGGGTGACAATATTAGCCCCAAGCTCACAGTGTTCTTGAGAAGATTAAAAAAGATAACTCATGGCCAGGTGATGTGTAGCTCAGCGCCTGGCCCCAGAAAGTGGTGACTTGTAGGATCAAAGGAGATAATATGGAAAAATCCAAACAACCTCATTCTGAGCTCCACCTTAGCAGTGGGTGAGTAGGGTGAGTAGGGAGAGTAGGGGTCACGGCCAGTGCCTTCTCCCAGCAGCCTGCTTCCCCGCCGGCCTCACCTCATTCCAGGGAAGGGCTGACTGCTGGTCTCTGGGCCTTCAAAATGCCATTGCCTTGCACTGCCCCTTGGGGAAGGCCGGCTGCCCCCGCCCTTTTCCTGTGTGTGTTTGTGTGTGGGGTTGTCCTCCCAGCACCGCACCCACATGGTCCAGGGACCTCTGCAGGGGGGCTGGCAGTCGAGGGTGAGCCCTTCCTGCTCTCCAGGAGCTGCTGCCAGAACCAGCTCCTCTTCCCCTAACGGGTGAGAAAAGAGCAAATATTTTCATTTGCACTATGCTTTCTGGCACTTGGTGTAAAATTACAGCTGAGAAGGCCCCACCCTGGGAGAAAGATGCAACTGGGAAGGACGTACATTCATTTTGCAAGTCTTCTTTCTCCATCTCTGTTCCCTTTGGAAAGTGGGCTTCTAAATTTAGAACGCTCAGTCTCTGCTTTTTGATGGTGGCTCACAGCACAATCATGATATCGTCATCAGCATAGTAATGGTGATAACAGCAGTGTTATCTCTCAGCAGATACTTACACACTAAGTGCTAGACACACAGTTTCTCATTTATTAGAACCCCCCGGGAGTTACACTGTTCATGTAGGTTAGGTAAGGAAACGCAGTCAGGGGCAGCCCCAGGTCCCTGCTCTTAACCAGGACTATTGCCTGTTTTAGCCTTTTCATCCTGTCCCGTCTCTGTTGCTCTGTGACTTAGGCATGTGACCATACCTCTCAGCCTCAGTTTCCTACCTGCTGAATGGGGATACAACCACACCTCCTGGGGTGGTTGTGACGATTGCATGTCGGTACTTAAGAAATGGCAACTTCTATTATTATTATTTCTACCATGATGAACACCGAAACATGCTACCGCAGTAGTGGGCCCAGGATGCCCAGGTACCACAGAATGCGGGTTCACCTGGGACCCCCGTGGAGCTGGAGTTTCCAAAGTGTGATGGTGGGTTTCACATACAGGGGAGCGGTTCCCGAGTTTAGCACCCCGGCGAGAGCGTTATGGGTCTCCAGCTTATTAACTGGCTTATTTCAGTACCCAGCATGTGTCTATGCTGGGCTGTCTAATTTGAGAGCCACCAGTTGCCGAAGGCAGCTGTTGGTCTCTCGGCAATATGCTGAGTCTGAACTGACATCTATATAACATATTGATTGTATATTAAACTCGTAACTCTTTGAATATATTGGGTAGTGCTGTGGTAGGCAGTTAGACAGACAAAACAGAGCCAGGACGATGGGCCAGGTGTAGAAAGTCACCAGGGCAGGAAGTGCTGGCTGCTTAGCAACAGGCAAAACTGGGAAAACTAGGACCTCACCGCCCCAGGGTAACCTTTCCTCCCCTAGCATGTCGCTGGTCAGGTGGTTTAGCCCCCCTGACCTTTCATATCGCTGGTCATACAGTTCGGACCCTCCCCTTACCGCCCGCCACCCCCGCGGCATGTTGCTAGCCATGCAGTCGTTTCCCGTGGAGGAGGGACAAGGCCCTGGGGAGTGGTCTCATGAGACTCCCCTGCGTGCGGGCCCTTGCATGACCACTCCTTCAGGCATTAACTCTGAGGGATAAATCTAGGCCTCAGTTGTGTTGCAGTTCCAGGACCAGAGAAACAACAAAACCAGACAAGCAATGCCATGGCTGACGCCAGGGCCAGCTGCACTGACTCAGGGGCATTGACCCCCTGCCCTGGTGCTGACCAATCAGTGAAGACCACGATCCTGAAAGGACACACCTGGAAAGCTGATAAATATTCTGTTGCAATCTTCCCCTGAGACCTCCAGATAAACACCCTCAAGCAGGAGGACCCAGCCCCACTCTCCCCCAGGGAGCCGGTGGGCACCTTTCACTGTCCCCCCTTCTTCCCCACAGGAGCATGACCTTTACCTTCCTCTCTGCGAAGCAAGAAGGGCCCTACTTCTGCCTCTGTAGCTTGTTTCCTGTCCCCTTTCTTTGTGGCGGCTCACTTCTTCCTCTGTGACTTTCTAAATAAACTTTCTCTTCTAGTTTGAGTCTTGGCTCTGAATTTTTTCTTGGCTAGAACTCAAGTACGGAGGTTGTTGAACCAAGGTCTGGTCTGACTCCAACTTACTCTGATTTGCCAGAAACACTCCTGGTTGGAGCACTGAAGTGAAATGCCTGCAACCCAGGAAACTCCTTAGTCCTGGGCAAACTGGGACAGTTGGTCACCTTATTATTGGTTAAAGTCTATTATAATTAATTTTAACTGTTTAGTTTTACTTTTTAAATCATACTTAACTATTAAGTGTTATTAGACAGTTTAAAATTACAATGTGGCGCTCATTATATTTGTATTGGAGAGTGCCAGCTCTCTAAGTCTTAAACCCCAGACTATACTCTGCAAGGGGACCGAGGTAACAGTTTCCCTCCCTGAGCAACTGACCACAGAAACAGCAACTATACTTCAGCGTAAAACAAGTCCTGTGACTGGACAAGCTGTGAGAGTGAGGGGACTTAAAGGATGGGCATGATTTTCCCAGGTTGGAGGGGAGACATGAGCGCATTCTTGGCAGAGGGCCGGAGCAAAGGCACGGATGTGGAATCAAGGGAATTATTACTATATACGCACACTTGCTTGATTAGAAGAACTCTTTCCAATCCCACGCAGCTGGGCTGATTGGCAATTTGTGCAGCTTTGAGAAGTAGGCTGGCTCACAGTGCTTCACCCTTTCACCCAATGTTTATCCTCAAGTTCAGCTCGTCCCTTCCTTGGGACACCTCTGCGCATCTGCTCTGTCTTGCCAGGTCTGTGCTGATCTCTCGGGGCCGTGGCAGACTGGCGTCATCATCTGTGGGTAGCAGACATGGAGGGGAGCCTTGGCTCCTTACAGATCATAACTGGAGTCTGGGGAAAATGAAGTTAATTCCTGATTTTTCAGGGACTGCTAATTTTGCCTGGTTTCCAGCTATATTTACTGAGCGTGTACTGTGTGCCAGGCATTAAGTAGTTTTGCTTGCATTATCTAGTAACCAACCCTAGGAGTGGGGTCATCTCCATTATCTCTCTTTCCCAGATGAGACACCTAAGACTTGCAAGACCACAAAGCCAGGCCAGCCAGAATTCACACTTAAAGACAGTGCTTCTCACTTCTTTGCACATTTCCATTCTGGATGGTTCCACCAAGAGATCAGAGATGCCTGGGACAAAATTTGGAAAACAGGTATTGGGTATTTGTTAAGTGAAGGCCTTATCAGGCAAACCTGTAGAATGTTTTGGCTAAAATGCTCCCTGCAGAATGGCAACCTTGAGTTGTTCAACCCTCATCTTTTTATCAGATGTTGGTGAAGAGCCATCTGAAGACCTTGTCTGCTTCCTCTCCTAGTCTCTGAAGCCACTGGCCACCCTCCACCAAAATGTTGAGTCTCTTTCACCATCACCTCCCAAATTGCTCCGTAGAGAACTCTTAGGGTGGTTCTGATTGAATGCAGAGAATCATGGCACTCATCCTGAGGTGAGGATGTCTCAGCTCAGAGTGAAGTGGCCTGGATATTTACATGCAGAACTTATGTAGTTATTTGTGTTGAGACCTGATGAAAAGATATATTTCATAAGAAAGGGGAATATTATCACACTAGCAGCTGATGATTGAGCTGAGTTGATCACCTTAGCTGCAGTCTCCTCTAGTAAGGTGGTGGGTCCTTTGGGAGTGGTCCCATAAATCTCAATGAATGAGTTTGGGTGGAGGAGAGCAGGAGATGCCAGGAGCCTTGGGCATAGGGGAGGTGAAAATTACAACACTGTCTCTAGGGAATCTGCTGCTCAGGTTGTAAAGACAGAGCGTTGGGAACACCAAGCAGGCACTTAGGCACATTGCAGACTTTGGAGTCACACCCAAGTTCAAATCCAGCTTTGTCTAGTTCTTAGCAGTTGACCTGTAGCAAATCTCTTCACTTAATCATTAAGAAGGGAAATGAGCCTTCAAATAGTTACTGTGTTCCTACAGTGGGCCAGGGCTAGGGTGAGGTAATATACTATCCGAGGTCCTCTCTCCACC